CCCCACATCGGCCCCTGCAGGTGAGAGCCCCCCACAGCAGCACCTGCAGGTGAGAACCCCCCCACATCGGCCCCTGCAGGTGAGAGCCTCCCCACATCGGCCCCTGCAGGTGAGGACAAGATGGCCCCTCCACGGCTCCCTCCACTCTGCAGGCCAGGAGGGAGCAGCGTCCTACGTAAGCTGTGGTCACGCCAGCATCACTCGCTTTTCTTTCACAGATGAAAAGAACCTGGCCTCACACTTATTGGAGAAAGAGCTTTCTAGATAACCTGTAGAACATGCAGGTCAACGCCCCGGGAACACGCAGGCTGACTGATGTTCTCGAGGGCGCTGCAGGTCCAGGGGCGCCACTGCCTTGGAGTCACGGTGGGCAGGCATCTTCTCCAAATGTTACAAGCATACTCAGAGAGGTTTTCACACTTGTTACCGTGTGTATGCCCGTGCCTATACACACACACGCTGGCCGACCTCGACCGCGGAGAAACGGTGCTTTCGCTCAGCCCTTCAGAGCGGCTTTCATCGTTTAATGTGGGTGAAACGGTGGTGTGGAAACACATGCACCTCAGGGCACAGCACTCAGTGCTGAGAACAGCCGTGAGCCCCACACCGGCCCTGCGGGCTGGGAACCCCTGGGAGCAGGCAGGTGCGTGGACAGTGGCTGGACTGGCCGGGCGGGCACGCCCGGGGACAGGCACGTGTGGCTGTGGTAGGAAGCCCTCTAAGCATTAAACATTTGGAGAAGATGCCAGTATCGCCGCAAAATCACACCTAAGTCTTCTGGTCAAGAAATGTAGCATAAAATAATTCACTTTGAGATGATTGTGAATTCAAATGTAAGGTCGCAGCACAGAAATCAGAGGCAGAAGTCTGGACCTGGGGGTCGCCTCTCCCTCTCCGTCTTGCCTTGTCAGTCTCGTGATCACACTGCCTCATCTTCACACCACTTTCCAGAAGTGGCGGGGTTTACATGACCAAGGTAAAGGGGCATGTATTCCCGATGAGACTCGGTAAGGCAGAGGGTAACAGCCGCGCCCCTATAAGGGATGTGTGCTAAGTGAAGTCGGTTCTTACTTACACACAATTCCCTTTATCCCTTTTCATGCGATGTTTAACTGTTTAAAATTGTGCTTACATTGTAAACTCTTTTGCACTTTCATAGATATGTTTGATCTGATAATAAGGTATAGAGGGTATTAACTCAAAAATAAAGTTATATGTATATAAAACCTTAGACGAATGGGAGAAGAGACCAGCCAACAGCTAATAAGTTCTTAAGGGACCCCAGGACTTCTCTATGGGAGCCCCAGCCCCGCTCCTCACTCGGTGCTGCTTCGCTGAGTGCGGCTGGAGGTCTGAGCACCGCCACCTGCCTCTGGCCTTGGGAATACATGGCAGGTTGTCTGGAAATGCATTTTGCCTAGAAGAGTAAGTCCTGAGCACGCCATGCATGTCCGTGCCTGCCGAGAGAAAGGGTAAGCTCTCACCTAGAGGGGGGCGGGGTGATCCCTTGTTCTCGTGACATGGAGCCCCCCCCCCTGCCTCTGGCCTTGGGAATACATGGCAGGTTGTCTGGAAATGCATTTTGCCTAGAAGAGTAAGTCCTGAGCACGCCATGCATGTCCGTGCCTGCCGAGAGAAAGGGTAAGCTCTCACCTAGAGGGGGGCGGGGTGATCCCTTGTTCTCGTGACATGGAGCAGACATTTGTGCTCAGCGACACTGCAGGAAACAGCATGGACAGCAGGACTGGGCACTGCGCTCGCCGTGCCCACGTGCTGAGAACGCTGGCCAGTACATGTCAGAGGTCAAGGGTGCAAAGGTGAACCACGAACTCACAGGAGGACAGGGAGAAACTTCCGGACAGCCCATACCCTCCTCTGGGGCTGCTGACCCCCTGCCGTCCTCAGCTGTTAGAAGTTAGTCTCTACCCGTGTTTCTCAGTGTTTCCGAGCGCTGCAGAGCTCAGTGGGGAGTGCCGTGGGCCTCCTAGGGAGCTGACTGAGGGTCAGCGATTCAGGAATTAGTAGCTGCACAGTGTCGGTAGCTGGCGTCGGTGACACGGCACGGCATATGCTCCTTCAGTTCTCTGAGGGTGGGGAGGGAGGGCGCTGGCCACTGCCAGAGCTTGGTTCGTGTGGTCGTGGCCGCCTTGCAGTTTCCACTTGTGACGTGGTTTAGAGACACCATCTTTGTCGTTGGAGAGAAAAATGCCTTGATGGTTGGCAGATCACCTGTTTGGAAACAAGCAGCATTGAGTTGGAGACAGGAAGTCTGGGAGACTCCGTAACCCCGCCCTGTGGGAGCAGCACCCTCCACTGGCTGAGGCTGGAGCACGGTGGTTTTCATATTGGTCTCTCGCTCAGACTGCTCACAAGCCTGCTAATGCCCACAGGAGGTGCTGATTTGTGCTTCGACCCTTCAGCATAAGGTGGTCAGTCGGAGGTTGACGCCATGACGTGAGCCAGGTGGCAGGCGGCACTCGGGCGTCGCGAGTGTCCGGGCACTCTGACGGTGCGGCCGGTGGCCGTCCTCGCTGTCGGTTCTTTGTAGCATAAGCAATTACCCTGCTATGGAGTCTAGCGATGTTTCAAGTGCCCCTCTAAAGAGATGTGCTTCGTAAGTAGAGAAGTTCTGAACCGTCCTGTCGTCATTTTCATTCTCAGGTTGGCGAGACCCGGTGTAAGAAGGTTTGCACGTCGAAGTCTGACCTGAGGTCTAACGACTTCAGCATCGTGGGAAGCCTCCCCAGAGATTTTGAGCTCTCCAACTACGACTGCTACGGAAAGCCCATCGAGGTCAGCAACGGACTCAGCAAGTCCCAGGCCAAGAACAACAAGAAGCCGCCCCCCGCCAAACCCGTCATCCCCACGGCGGCCAAGAGAATCGACCTGTACGCACGGGCACTGTTCCCCTTCTGCTTCCTGTTCTTCAACGTCATATACTGGTCTATATATTTATGACACCCTTCCATGCGTAGAAACGAAGGACCCATCTCATTGTGCCCAGCCCACTCATCAACTCCAGTCTGTGAACACGTTTGTTCTCATAGCAATACACCGCATCCGAACGCTCCGACTGTAATGAATGCGGCCCCTACCTGGAATGGCAGCATGAGCTTGTACCGCGTGTGCCAATCCTGATGTACATACGTAGCACGAGCATCCTGCTTTAGGGACACGCGGAGGCTAAGCATACCACACGCCAAGACGTCACGCCATCTCTCAGTGTCAGCTGCAGACAACTCAGATCCTGACGCCGTGCACGCCAAGTCCCGTGACGGCCACCAGGCCGGTGTGTGTCCTTCCTCGTCACTTTCCGAGAAAGCTGTCTGACTCTTGTGTAATTTAGGTGGAGTTGTCACAGACTAAGCAGAGTTGTACTGCATATTGTTTCAACTTTGTAAGTAGAAATATATCGGTTATATTTATGTGGGCTCTGTGGAGAAATAAAGTTTAAAACTTATCAATTTGTAAAATCAGCTCACTTTAAGGAATGCTTGTGTTGTCTAAATGGCAGAAAGTAAAATATAGTAAGTATTTTTGAAACAAGGGGAAATCTGGACTTAGGTAAAAATGCACTGAATCCTGACTTCTGATAAAATATAAATACATAGAGATAGATGCATTGACGAAATACTTAGGATAAAAATTCTATTTAATCCACCATAAAACCTAAATATATTTTCATCGATTTCATTTGTTGATAGAGTATCAAAAGCATTGTGCCTTACAAAGAGTCATATATATTTTAAAGTGGAAGCAGTAACAGATATGTGATTTCAGACCATTTTTATGAAAGCAAGGGGAGGACTAAAGGTGACTTGAGCTGGGAAAAGAAGCCCACGCTCATTGAAGGAGTTCGGCTTTTCTTCACTAAGATGCATACACACCTTTAAGAGAGATTGAAAATGTTCCCATTTTCCTTGAGTATTTGTGGCTATCTTACAAACATTCAAAGATTGGGTGAGTACTGTTTGTTTGTGGTAGACTTCACTTCCGTATGTCCTTTCTTTCTTGCTAAAAGTCTGGACAACTGAGATTTTTCTTACTTTGATCTCATTTCAAGCCTCACTCATGAGACCCACTTCCTGACACGGTCGTGGCCCACCCCTTCATCCTGCCGTAGCCAGCCAGAGCGACCAGTGACCCAGCGAACATAACCCTAGGACCAAAGAAGTCTGTGTCTGTTACTCTCATTGTATCTGGACCTAATGGCCAATTCTTAATAACATGTGTTGAATATTGTCTATGCCAAGTGCCACATGTAGCTGAACGCTGTTCAGGTCTGGAAGTCTTGTCTTTGGTCGTTTTAGGAATGGGGTCTGACCCGACCTCCACAGCCCTCCAGCACCCTCTAGTTGCAAGAGCGCGCTCGTCCCGGTAAAATGCCACAGGTGACCGCGGTGGAATCGTCCTCAGACTCCACAATAGAGCTGAGTGGCAAGTGTCTTTAGTCGGAGTTACATCGTTTTCAGGTTTATTTGTAATACATTTGCACATAATCTGTTTTTCTATTTTTTATTTTTCTAAGTTCTATTTATGTTGGAGAGTTAGATTTAAATGCAGAGTTTTAAGGGGAAGATGTATGCCATCACAAGTCTCATTATATAGGAATTCCTCTGTGGAAACCGAGGAGAATGAACACCTTTCCTGCAATGTGACTTGGACCCTGCTGACATCAGCTCCAGTGCCTACACAGGTAGCTGGCAGCCCCAGGACTAAGGGTGTATCTCAAGCTACAAACAGAACCTTAGGCCATGACACCGCAAAGAACGACTCGTGTCCACTGGTATTTGAGTTGTGATTCTTCTTTCAGAGGTTTAGTCACCTGATTTCAGGGCAGTTCTGGTCCGTGTGCTTTAATATTATGTATTTCTCGGGAATCTGTGGTGTGTCTGCCCGGAGGGTCTGCTGATACCTCAACTTCAGTGTCTTCAGAATAAAAACTGTCTCCTCAAAAACCAACAGCTTCTCCTGTTTTCTATTTTTGAAAAAGCCATGGCTATTCCTGCCAAACCGAGACATGGTCTTTTCTCACCCTGTGCATGCTGTCAACATACACCAAGTCCTTAGGGCCCCCTCCTTTCCTGCCGGCACCATAGGTGACCTCACCTACCTCCCCATATGTGACCTCACCTACTTCCCCATAGGTCATGTCACTTGCTTCCCCGTAGGTGACCTCACCTTCTTCACCGAAGGCCATCCCCTCACCTGCTTCGCCGTAGGCCATCCCCTCACCTGCTTCACCGTAGGCCATCCCCTCACCTGCTTCACCGTAGACCATCCCCTCGCCTACTTCACCGGCCACCTCCCCACCTGCTTCACCGTAGGCCATCTCCTCGCCTGCTTCGCAGACTGTTTCAGAAGTCTACAATATCACTCCACTATAGCTCAATTTGTCTCCAAACGAACTCTGTGAACTTTTGTCTTTTAACTGCACGAATGATATCGAGTGTGCTGGCATACTGTGAAAAAGCAGATATATGAGGAAACTTCGAAAATTAATAGAAAATGAGAATAAAGAGTAAGTTTTCTTTGGTACAAAGCAGTATTAAAATCCATGCATGGCTTTTCTTAGCGTGCATTTTCCGTGAGCTTCTTTCCCAGTGTGAGTGGCGGCCCCGCCCCAAACATCGCCCTGGATGTCACCGTCATTTGGGACCATGCAGACACCTGTTTCCAGGATTTCCAGCCTTTAGTTTTCAAAGATAAGAAGTAACATAAGGGGACATAACATGGATGAGATATACTTTATGTCCAGACTTGCATTTTTTTATTTGAAATTCTGAAGGGATGGTGAAACGGAGGGGCAGGGTTTGCAGTGTGAGCAAACTTTTTCCCTCTCCCACTGTCTGGTGAGTGCATGTGCCCTCTGGCAAATAAATGTGTGCATGTGTGTGTCCATTACAAATGCAGTGTTTGAATCAAGCTTCTCCAGAAAACTTTTGTATTATCTATATTTCTGGAACTTTCAGTTTGTATAAATAATTGGATATAAAATTTTAAAGTACCAGTGCTGAAATAATTTGAAATCTTTCTTATAATCATTACTCAATGCTTTTTAGATAGAATATTATTAGCTTGTTCTAACTACATTTTCAAATAGGTGGCACACGCCTACACAATGTGTCTATTGCTCAGCTTCAGTGGCTCGGTCTTCCTTCCCACACTGCAGGTCTTAACGGCTCAAGAGGTCGGGTCAAGTCCCGCAGGGGTCAGCCACATTACTCACTGGAGTTGAGTCCTCCGTGGACTCTCCTGGGATGGCCACTGGGGCGACCGAGGCTGCCACCTTCCAGGCTGGCAGTGCTCACACTCACACCTGTGTGGACTTGGTACTTTGCAGATCGGGGCATTGTTTTTCCTGCAGATACACACGCGTGCTCGCATACACAAAGCTTATTGCAGTTGTGCCCTTTGCCAACAGGACAACAGAATGTTCACAAATTCTGTACTCTCAACAACAAAGGCAGCTTCGTTCTAGTAAATACCTTAAATTTTCTCCAGTGTCACATATCACACCCCCAATGGTTCTTTTCAAACACTTACAGGGTCGAATACCAAACCAACAATGCCAATTCAGCAAATGCTCATCGGATACTTTCTGTGCTGAAGGCCTGAGTTAGCCTAAGACTGTACAGAGGAATAGAACATATTTCCACTCCTGAGTGATGTGCAGCCAGCAGTGTGGGTAGAGCGGTCTGCCATGGGACTCCTCAGATGTGGCTGGAACACAGCACGGTCTTTCTTTCTTTCTTTCTTTCTTTCTTTCTTTCTTTCTTTCTTTCTTTCTTTCTTTTTCTTTCTTTCTTTCTTTTTCTTTCTTTTTTTTTTAGAGAGAGAGAGATTTGTGTGCTAGGGCATGTGCACTTGCCAGAGAGAGAGACAGACAGAGAGACAGAAAGCGAGACATCACCCCCAGGGAGACAGCCACACTGCACCCCTTTCTCCTCCATTCTCCTCCTAGGCTTTTGGCCACGCACACACAAGCACCTGCGTGGGTTGTAAGCCACCTGGTCCGGGGCTCAAACTGTGGCCGAATACATGGGAGTCCAGCGACATAACCATGACTCCATCTGTTGATCCCAACACAGTGGGTTTTATTAAAAAGCATGAGGAAGGGACCAGCAGGTGGTATAATGGTTACTTTGCTGGACTCTCACCTGGCTGGCCACAGTTTGAGGTCCACATCTGATGGCTTAAACTCACACTATGTGTGTGTGTGTGTTTGCATGCACGTGAGTGCCCAAGATCCCAAGAGGAGATTGGAGGAGAAGGGATTGCACTGTGGTCATCCCTCTAGTGGTGGTTTCTCGCTTTCTGTCTGTCTCTGTCGTTCTGGTGAGTACGCATGCCCTATAGCAAAAATCTCCCTTTAAAAAAATAAAAAGCAAGAGGCCACAAAGTCATTCATCCAAAATAAACAAAAACCTACGTGGAAGTATAAATAGGAGTAATTTAATATGACTAAGTGAAGGAAGGCATTGCCAGTAGCTTTTGGGACTCTGGAGCGGAGCAAGCAGCGTCCAGAGCCGTCCAGTGAAGAAACGGGCAGTGAAGCGTGGGAATGTGCTCTTCGAGCGGCCTGTCCTTGCAGGCGTGGCTCTGGATGTGATGTCGTCTTGATGGCTGTCCTCGGGAGCTGCGGCTGCGGGCTGGTGCTTGTTCCTAGCCAGAACCTCGCTTGTTCTCTGCCCTGTGAGCCATCACCTGCGACCTGGCATGCAGCCTGAGGCGGTGCAGCTCACCTAGTGCCGTGGACAATGAGGTGGCCACACAGGGCTTCATGCTGGTCACAGGAGTCACTGTCTGCAGCGTTTCCAGTACCCTCGCTGAGCAGTGGCTCCATTAGCCAGCCAGTGTTGCCTGGCCCGTGAGGGCGTCCCACACAAAGCCCTTCCTGTGCAAGGGCGAGGGGCAAGGGGTGAGGGGCTGAGCCTCGGGGAACTCGGGCCAGGGAGGCTTGGCCCAGGCTCCCGGAAGCTCTCGGGAAGGCTTCCAAGGTGAGTCGCAAACGCAGCAGCGAGAGGACACCTGGCCGCAGTGGACCGTCTGCTTCCTTGGCAGGGCCAGCCTCACACCCACTGCCTCCGGGAGCCCCATCCTAGCCTGAGGACTTAGCGCCCAGCGCCGCACCCAGCCCTGGCCACAGAAACTGGCTCTGGCATTTTCCCAAGTTCAAGTCAGCGGCTGCAGGCTCGTAGCCACAAAGATGATCTTTCAGTCGTTAACAGAGAGAACTAACATGGACCTCATTCAGGGGCTGACGACCCTGCCTCCACGTCGGGAAGCCTCTGTCCAAACGCAGCTGGCGCATTCATCTGAGAGCTCAAAAGCCCTTTCATTCAAACTCCTTCACTCCCAGTCTGGCCAACGGTACGCCAGACACTTTCAGACTTTTAGGCGAATTAAAGAATGGCCCAAATAAAACTGTGAGACTTCGTAGGGATACCTGTGGAACATGCACCTCAGCAAAATAAACTGAAGTTTGACGGAGCCCAAAGCAGGCCCACACATCCCCTAGGAAGAAGGAGCAGGCGGCCGCGGGCCCTGGCACTGGCAGAAACTGGGTCTGGGCTGCAGGGCCGGGAGCCCTTTGCACCCAGCAGATCTTTCTGCGTGTGTGTGGGGTTCTTCTCTTTAGTACTCTGACAGCAAGGAGGGAATAAGAAGGGCTGGTCCAGGAATGACCGGTCACACTGTCAGTCTGCCCCTCTCAGGCTGACACGGGCCTGGGCACTGTGACGGTCTGCCCCTTTCGGGAGGACACAGGCCTGGGCACTGTGACGGTCTGCCCCTCTCGGGAGGACACGGGCCTGGGCACTGTGACGGTCTGCCACTCCTTCCACTGCCTGCTCCTTTCTCCCCGGCCACGCATTGGTCAGACTTCCCTGGACTTGGCGCTGGGCCAGGTCATTCTCCTCAGAGGCCGTCCGGAGCTCCCGATAGCCACCGTCCTGCTGGGCCCTGCACTGCCCTGCTGCGCCACACTGCTGTTTGTAGCACCAACTTTGCGACCCCTACGTTATGTTTTTAGAGGATTTATTTAAATAGTGAGTGTCGGGACTAGCAGTTAGTGTAATAACTATGTCGCTGAACTCCCATATAGCTGACCGTAGTTCGGGTCCCAGACCTGATGGCTTAAACTCACGCCGGGCGTGAGTGCATGTGTGCCCAAGATCCCGAGAGGAGAATGGATGAGAAGGGATTGTAGCATGGCCATCCCCCCCGGGGGGGGGGGATTTTTCACTTTCTATCTCTCTGTCTCTCTCTCTCTGGCGAGCGCACGCACCTTATAGCAAAACCTCTACCAAAAAACCAGCCAGCGTTAGCCTAAAAGAAGACACAGGCATTAGTTACAGGTGAGTGCCCTTTCTGCTCTTCAAGGGTCTTGGCACCCACAAGTGAGAGCTGAGAATACAAGAAATTCAGACAGGTCTCCGAGGAGGTCTGTCTCCTGTGTGTAGACATTCCTCGTGGCCAGCCTGCGGCCTGGCCCTGCGGAGCTCATCCCTGGGTGGGGGCCGGAGGAGTACAACAGAAACACGTGCCCCAGGTCCCCAAGGGGAAGGAAGGCGGAGGGACATGGGCAGCTGTCTCCCAGGGGAGTGCTCTTTCTCGCTGTCTCTCTCCCTCGCTCTCCTCTTTCTCGCTGTCTCTCTCCCTCGCTCTCCTCTTTCTCGCTGTCCCTCTGGTGAGCACACACACCCTCTAGCAAATTAAGAGAGAGAGAGAGTTGGAGGAAGGGGCCCAGGGGGTGGGGGGATCATGACTTCAAGGACAGCGGGTCAGAAGCTCTGACACATGCAACCCACTGTCCCATCAGGGACCAGCTAGGCCTTCTGGGGTTGCAAATGTTCTTTTATCAAAGGAGATGCAGCACACAGGACAGTTAACAAAAACGGTACCAGCTCCCCGAAACATGGGGGCATTACTAATGAAGGAGTCCCCTAAAATGCTCTTTG